GTGGTGAATGGGTCAGCAGAGCCACGGGGCGAGTGGGAAAGCACGGCATGATGGACTGGACTAAGGAAGCACTTTCAGAGAAACTTTTTTAATTTATTATTATTACTCTCAGTGGAAAGGGAGCAACTAGCACTTCCCAACACTGAAACTGCAGAGTGGGGTGTGTCTGGGGGGAGCAAAGCAGTGCAGAAATATAACTATTCCTCTGACCATAAGAAAATGGGTCTCTTGGTACCTGCAAGGAGTGTGAAGCTTTCCTAGGGATTTTGGGTAGCTTATTCTTTTTTTCCCCTTTCTGGATCAGTTAGATATTCTGAATTGCTTGCAGTTGCATTCTTCAGAATGTGTAATACTAATGTGAAGAGAGACCTTTAGTGTGTATATAAACTATATATTTTATATAATGCGCGCATATATATACACACTTGCTATGTAACATGTATGCTGGGAATTACAAAGTGTGTCAGAAGGTGGGAAAAGAAGATAAGAGATGTAAGTATTCTTTTCTTTTTATAAACACTCCTTTTGGCTTGGACAATACATTGCAAAACAAACAAATAGAAACAACTGCAGTTGAGAGACTAAATGGGGTATTGGATCAGATGACTTCTGCCACTACTCACATCAGTGGGAAAGTTGATAAGTATCTTCTTGTCTTATCCATGCAGGTGTCCACTTGAATGTGTCAGGTTTTCAAATGTGTTGCTATACAGGAAGCAAGTGACTTCTCCATTAAAAGCACTAGTCTGTAGTGCAAGAAGCATTAATGTAAATTCTCCACTGTTCATGGAGTTGCTCTTGATTCACGCCCACCTGACAAGAAGTACACAAGATGTGTAAGACTGATGCTTGCTTTTTAGAGGTCTGCCATGCTATCCTAAACATTTAATTTCAAGCTGTGACCCAGAGCACTTTGATCTGCTTCACAAAATATTTTCAAGGTATTTCAAAAGACACTCCTTTCTGGCACAGTATAAACAGTACCAGAATCTTCAGTGGGAATCTGTCTAGCAAATGTACTGCAGCATAAACCTCTGGTTCACAATTATCCTGAGTTACTTAGTCTCTCTGGATGGCTACCTGTACTTCTCTGGCTACGTAGGATTAGTGGGATTGCTGTTTGAGATGGGCTGCACTGGTCAAAATGGTATTGCTGCCAAAACCGGGTAACTGTAGCTTCCAGTCCTAAATAGTTTTTGTCAGGAAAGGAGAAGATTATGACCAGAACACTCAATGCAGGGAAACATGGAAGTCTTAACTATTAGCTAAAAACTTGCAGTGGAGTATTTAGAGACATGTTACAAATGCCACGTGCATTTTTATCTGTAGTACTCTGCTATTGTCAGGAAGGTAAGCTGGTACCCATAGCTGTAGTAGTAAGGCATAGCAACTGATTATTAATTTGGGGGAGGATGGAAGTGGTTTGCTGATGTAATGAGGATAAGCTTTAAGAAAAATAAATCAAGTATAACTCACTGACCCAATGAAGCCTTAATATTCATGTGGAGGCATTGACATATGGTGCTGTTGAGCAAAGTGCTTCTGTCAGGGTGACAGGGATAGTCATCACGGAGTTTCAGATGTGCCAGCATCTCTTACAAACTCACTTAGGAATTGCTTTTTTGGCTCGAGGGACTACATCTCTGGGGCACAACTGATCAGAGGATTAGCCACGAGGGTTTTTTATCCTCTAAGTTTAGAAGGGGGATTTTCTTTGGAACCTTGAACCACTTCTTCCTCGGTCTTGACAGTGATTGCAGAGCTCTTAAATAAGCAGTCTGTACCAAGACTTGCTGTTTGAAGAGCAGCATTGTTTTCTCCAGTTGTCACTTCTTTTCCCAGGTGTTGGTTCTATGCATCATAGAAGTGGTAGAAATGAATCTACCTGCTTTGATACCCAGAACTGGTTTCTTTTTCGATAAAGCACGAGAATAGCCCTCTTCTCTTGGTACAGAGTCCTCTTGTGTGTCTTCCTCCTTAGCTGTAACTGCACAGTAATTGCAGCAGTGATGGTTTGACTTCTGCTGTCATTGTTTCGCAAAGATACAGTTTTAGTGAAAACTGAAGCCTACACAATTAGAAAGGCTGTTTAAGTGACCTGTGAGCCTTTTAGACCTTCTGTATGAGGAAATCTCCTGCATATTAGGTAGCTGAGGTGTGAGAAATTGGACTATAAGCAAACATAGGCAGTCCCAGCTCATCATAAACTTAAATACAATACCTGGAAAAACTCATCCTCTCACTCAGCAGTCCGCTGGAGATTTGAAGTCTGTTGGCACTAACGTATGTAAAGCATAAGGGTTTGCTGTCGGAAACAGAAGCGCAAGAACAGTGTTAATCCAGATGTGATGCTGTCTTAAAACCTGTTAATACCTTTTTGCGAAGGAGATGTGAAATTCTGATGGATGTGGTGTTTCACCCAAAAACATGAGGGGCTGTGTTGGGATCCTAGCACAGGCTGAGCTTGTTCCAAACAGTTGCCTATTCCATACCTCAGCATCAGTGGAGCCGATGATTTGGCGAGTGCTTTTACCTTAGTCTCAGGTTTCTTTTTTTATATGCACTTTTTTCCTGAAGTTGCGCATGGTGTAGGTTTATCTGCCAAGTCCCTGGCTTGTTAGTCAAAGGCCAAAAAATGGTGACAACTTCTTGTCTTGGCATGAAAAGCCATGGCACTGCTCCAGAAGTGTTTTTGGAAGAGCTGTTTCCAAGCTCAGACCTGAGCTTCAGCAGTCAGCTGTATGACAACTTCAGCTGGCACTTACTGCAGGATGCTAACCAGCCATACAACAGTAATTGGTTCAGACCTAAGCATTAGTGAAGAAAATGGATGTGGATATACAAGTCAGAAAACAGTGATAACAAGGTTCTTACTGCAGCCATTTCCAAAGTAAATTTCTACTTTCTTTGGTGGAATTCCTTGGAGCGGGTTGAAAAATGTGTCTTGCAGGGTTGTATGATGGACTGGATGGTGGCTGAGATGTTGGAGGATGGAGAGGATGGTGCAGTTGTGCTTCTCGCACAGCACATGCTGCACCACCAAGCATCACAGGGAGGGCTGCTCCTTCCCCTTCGTCCCAAGGTGTGACTGGCAAGTGCATGACTCTCTACTGCTAGTGGAGAGTGGCAGCTTGGATCTCACCAGGCAGGATAATAGCAGTGCTTGCCTTTCAAATTCTGATAGCTGTCTATCTTGTAGGAAGCTCTGCCTTTCACAGAGAGGGGAAAATAGAAGAGCTGCTTGTGGCTTACAGATCATTTTGGGATATAGCCTTACTTTCCTGTCTTTGCCTTTTACTGAAGTGAGCAACTACAACAATCACTCTGCGAGTACACACACTGGTACAGTGACAGGAGTCCTGGCAAAGCAGGTCTGGTGCAGTTCAGAATAAATGGGTTTGAATGCATTCACGTATGTTGCTGATGCAGGTTATGCCCCAATAAATCCCTATTGATGATGACATGCAAATGCCACCAATGCACCCTGCCTTCCTGCTGTAACTGTTCAGCAAGCTGTCTTCCATAGGAAAACCTCCTTGCAGTGCAACTGCCAGGCTCTCGCCTTCTTTGGGCTTGAAAATGTTTTCCTTAATGGTTCATCAAGAGATGTACTAAAAGAAAGCAAGACATAATGGGGTCATCTGGAACATCGCTGCTGCTTGCTCAAAATGTAGCAGTTTGAGTTGAAGAAGCCACATGCTGCCCTATTAAGATGCTCTTTCATGTTGTCGTCTAACTCAGCATGTCATGATCTGTGCAGTGCATTGTTCAGTGTTTCTCTCCAGCTGAGTGCCCTGTTCCTGGATTTCCATGCTGGCATACCCTGGGAGCATGTCGTAAAAATTTGCTGCATTGCAGTATTTTGTCTTGGAGCTAGTAATGTGGAAGATGTATTTTTTCTAAGCTAAGTGGACTCTCTCTAGCATGAGTGTGCATCCACCATGTATCCTTAAGCACTGTAACATTCCTCCTGGCCACGAATGGGCATGTTGTCATCATTCCAGTGTGCACATTTGGTGAAAGTCCAATGGAAGATTTTTTAGTGTGTTAAAGTCTTTTTTTTTTCCTTACAGTACACTCCTCTTAAAGAAATGTAGCCTGGCTAGTGACAATCAAATTGACAAGAATGGGGCTTTTTTGTTGTCTATTTGAAAATTGCCTGGCTGCATTTGAAGGAAATACTGGGTATTTGTATGTTCTGTTGAGCTCTGAGAATTGAAGATTCTTGGCTATTAAAAAAATAATTGGGTAGTAGCGCAGGTACTGAAGGGAAGGAAACCCTTCCTCCTGCAGTCTACCTGGTTTGTCTCCTTCAGTTTGACCTGTCACAACAGCTAACAGACTGCTGTTGCTTTAAAGCAAATGTGTTTTATTGATTCTGTGTTATGACCTCTACTTCAGTCATAAAATGTTTCCCCATTTTTCACCTTTGAAAAAAAGAGCATGGAGCTGTGGTCTGCAGTAGATGGAAGGTACAGCAATACATGAAACGTAACGGAACTTACACTGTTGAAAACCTGTGACCTTGTGTGTAACTTCAGTAACCTGAATGTTTCATGAAAACTGAGGTGGTGCTGCCTTGACCAATGGGGGGCACTTGACCAATGTTTTTGTTCCCTAGGGTTGATTTGCTGGAAAATGTTGTTCTAAATTGGATTAATCTGGCTTTTCTTGTCACCACTGGGTATGATGCTGGTTTGGGCTTACTAATCACTTTCACTTAGCAATATTGGAAGCTGTGTATTTTCCCTTTTGTAGTTTCTTGCTTGGATACAGTGATGACCAGTGATACAGTGATGGATACAGTAAGAACGCTGCATGATATGTACTTGCAAGTGGCTGGAACAGGACTTGAGAAAAATATGGAGATACTCATTTCTGTGTAAAGTAATGGTACTGGAAGAAAGTGGCTGAGAAGAGTTGCTCCTTGTTGGTTGACTGGCTCAAGAACCCGTTTATGTTTTGACTGCAGTGATCCTGTAGAAAGGACAATTCTTAATAAATATTTCCCTGTGGGATTTCACTCTGTGTTCTGCTCTCTGTGTAATAAAGTAGAGCCTGACCTCCACATTATCAGAAGCACTTCGTCTTGTAGCTAGGATACTGGAGCGTTGGGCTGGTACCTGTTCGGTCAAAACAAAGTATGGGTCTAAATAGCTTCCCTTTCCCTTTAGTAACTATTAATAATTAATTCTAGATCCTCTTGTGTCATTAAGCAGCTTTAGGGCACCTTGTACAATCTAGCTTTGAATTCATTTAGTAAATGACCTCCAAAAGAACTCGGACTTCCCCATGTGCAGCAAGGTCCAGTTCCAGGGCCTTTGGTGACCTGTAAAGATCCTATTCCTTGGTTCATGTTCAGATGTACAAATAGATATTTTCTGTATTTTTTTTAAACTTTAACAACAGAACAACAACCAGTATTTGGAGGGAAGCAAGGTAGATAGCAATCAGGATGGTCTGTGTAACTTGGTTTCCCTGCTGTGATGCAAACGTGTAAAATAAAGATTGACCAGAAAGAAGTTTAATGCATCTCATTTTCTGCTAGCAATCAAGCTGACCCATTGATTCCAAAGTCTGTGTTTTCCTGTGCCTGACTTCCCTTTGTAGCCATTAACATATGCATCGTGGATTCGGGGCCAAATCCTGGATACCCATAATCTGTGGGAAAAGCTTTCCTGCCAGTGACCCACACTGTGGTTCACTGAGGTGCCTTTCCTTGAGCTGAAAGACCTCCATGTACTGCAGCTGTGCTTGTAGGTGCCAAGCTCCTCTCTTAGTTTTGCAGGTGGAACTTCAGTAGTTTCTGTGGTCTGAGCCTCAGCTGGATAGCAGTGTTACTACAGCCCTGTTTCTTGCAGCTGGTGGCCCCTTGCTGCCAGCCAGTGTTGTGGTCCCCTTGTTCCACAGAGCTTGGTGTCAGCTTGCCATGCAAGGGAAGACAAGGAGCTGGTGCTCCTTGGTGAGCAAGTGCTCCTTGAGGCTCCTTGAGCCTTGGTGACCAGATACAAATTAAGGGTAGAAACCTGTATTTTAAGTAATACCCTTTGTGGATCTGTCCACATTATCTCAAAGGGGTGGGTCCTTGACCTGATGTTTCAGGCTGAACTGAGGGCAATTTGGGACTTCTGTAGCTGCTCTCTTCCTGAGGTGTCAGAATGTAACCATGCGTTTTCAGTTCTGCAGACTGCTTGGGTTGGCAGGGATGAGGAGGGCAAAGTATTTCTGTGATATCTTCCTGATAATCCTCCGCCCCTCAAGAGCATATGTCCTTCATCACGAAATGTAGGTCTTCAAGATGTGTCTTACAGTTTAGCCTATAGTTCTCATCCTACCACAGAGGGGTACTGCCAAAAATAGACTGTGTTTTCCCAAGCAACCAGTTCTGCATTGCCTCAAGCCTTTGGGTGGGTGGTGTTTTACCAGGGAACTATAAAAAGTACGTGGGCTTTGGACTTACTAACACCCTGCTGTAGAATAAACCAAGCTTCATGGCATGAAGGTGAGGGCTGGTGGTTGCACTGGGGTAACCTATATCTATTTCATGCCCTTGGATGTGTGGTTTCTCCAGACTGAATATCCTCTGTTTTTTCTGTCTGTTGTATATTTGGCCTTAAACCATCTCCCCTCAAAGTGACAGCAGCCAAATTCACCCCTGCTGTAAGTGCACAGTGCTCCAGTGGAGTTAGCTGCGCTGGGCCAAAAAAATCACCTGGCTGTAATGAAAGGTGAAATGTTAGGGGAGAAGTGTGTAAAGTGGGACTAAATTGTGGGAAGACTCACTTGAGTTATAGATTGCCTATAGGTTATATGGCAAAAAATCTTGATTTCTGATTGTCTTCTCCAAGGAGAAACAAAAAGGAAAAGCCCCTAATTGCAACAGAGCTCACTGTATCTAAGGTGGTGTAAGCAGAGATTGGTAGACTTACAAAGGGGAGGATAAACAAAACCAGAGCCCTAACACAGCTTTCCTCCATGTGCTGTGTTTGGATGCAAGCGTGTAGGTGTTTCCCTCTCCAGAGGAGGTAAATTGTTTTACCTGCTTTAAGGATTTTCTTCTCGCGTCTGAAATTCTGAGCTGACTTGATTGTTTGCTGCTCCTTGTTGCAGTGCAAGCTGCCTGCTGTCAATGTTCTTGCTCTAGCAAGATTATCTTCATGACTGCAAAGAGCTGCCTTCTCTTTAAATCTTGCTTTTACCTTCCTTTGCCTTCTGACTGACAGAGTCTAATGAGCAGGAGCGTGTTGTAGTGCCCTTTGTAGTGAATGGTCAATAAAAACAAATTGCTTTGTACAGAAGAGGTAATAATACAGCTTGTATTGGCACAGCTGATCCAATACTGGGGTCCTCAGTTAGGAGACGAGGGCTGTTGTGCATCTTAGGGCTGACATGCATTGTTATTACTTTTCTTCTCCCCTCTCATCCATGGGGTGACACTTCTTTCTCGTGACTCTTCTCCCCCATGGAATATCTTTACTGGGGTGGCTGAGATGTAATGCACGAGATGGTTCCTGTATTGCTGAAAAAAAATAAACGGGCGTGCAAGGTGAGGCTGTTACGGTGGTGGTAGGTTGTATAGGTGAGGATCAAAATGGAGGGGATAGCATAAAACTTCTTTTACAGCTCCCTCTTGGGATGAGGGTACTGAGCTTGGTAAGAGACTTCCAGCATCCCCAATGAGAGGAGTTGCTGACAACATGGGGTCTCCTTTGGCAAGGGTAAATATATTAATAAGGAGGGTTTTTTCATCCCCGAGGACACTGTTCTGAGGTGCTGATCATCTTCAGTCCTCAGTGTTGTAGGGTGGCACGATAGCCCGATGGCAGCCTGTCACCCGAAGAATCACTTGCGGTGCAGAAGAGCGGCCTCTTTATCTAGTGAGGATCTATCCAGTGTAGCCCTGTATCCAGTACCGAAGCTGCCGTGTGGCTGGAAATGCCTCTTCCCCGGCGCTGCTCGGGTGCTTTGTTCTGCAGGAGCTCCGTGAAGTCAGAAGGAATCCCACACCCAGCAAGGCTGTGAAGGCATTGATCTGCATCCCCCAGGAGAAGCCAAACTTGTTCGTTTGGGGATGGATCTCACACCAGGCTGCGGTAGCCAAATTGGAGGGGCTACAAATTAACAGCTGCAGTGACTGAGGCGAGAGAATTGGGCAATGACAGAAGATTACAAGAATTAAAGCTGTAAGCCTGACTAAGTGACGATTAAAGAGAGCCAAGATGATGTTGCACGCTACAAAATGGCTGCATGGAGGGGGGGGGAAAAAAAGCAGAAGTGCGAGAGAATTAATTAGCGTGGCTCAAGGCCTGAGCTGTGGAGAGGTGAGATGAAAGAGGAAAGCAAGGTGTTGGGAGAAACCTTTTGCCAATGAGATGGGTTTGGCTGCAAACAATCTCCCTGGAGCAATGGAGGCAGTTC